GAGAGAGAGACAGAAAAGGACAAAAAAATAAGACAGAATAAACAAAAAATTAAATACAATCGAAATATCTTGTAATCTTGTTTAATGTATAGATAAATATATTTTAAAAATATATTTTCGGAAATTTTAAATTGCAATTTGCAAAAAATTGATTATTCCTATTTATATCAATTTTTTTACATTTTTTTATATTCAACTTAATTTAATACTAAAACTTTAATAGTTACATTTTGCTCAATGCAATGTTATTTTGATCTCAAACTAAAATAAATCTTCTTGCTTTTCCTATCTTGCTTTCGTTTTGAATTAGTCGAGTCAAAGATGCGAGCATGCAAGAAAAATACGTTCGGATAATAGTGCAACTGATAGCAGCGTCCAACTAGAATACCAGCTATCCCTCTTACTATTTTCGCTTCTGTCCCTTCTATCCGCCTAATTTTCGGTTTGCCAGAGCTATCGTCGTCGACCAAGGGAATAGTCCTTTCAACCCTAAATAATTCTCTCGCAGCACTGTACCATTTGTTGACAAACGTACAAACAAGTTACTTTTACACATTACATACTTTCTTTGTTTTTATGAAAAATCTTTTATTAAAGAAGAGTAGAATGCAATTTGTCGTTATTTTTTTCTAAGCAATATAAGACAAAATCAACTACTTTTCAATGAAAATTTAAAATAATATAGCTTCTTAACGTTCAGCGTAAATTCGTAAAATTATTTAATTCTAAACTCGAGACTCGATTTATCTTATGTGGTATATAATATTTTTTTCTAAGAATCTCTTGTTATTTATAAAAATTCAAAAGTTATATTTATATATCTTCTTAGCTTACAATTAGTTATCATAATTTTTCCTGCATAGTGTAACTATATTAAAATCTTAAAGTTTAAGTTTTTGCACATGTGCACATGTTATTATGATAATAAACTTTAATAAAATTATAAATTACATTCGGAGAAATAAAACAAAATATAAAAGGGTAAAATAAATACACACGCGTTATACGGAAATAAGGATTCATTTTGATGGTAAATTTAAATGCGTACCGAACTTACTCTCACACGAGACGAGTTAATTTGCATCGGGCGATAATCGCTATGTAATTATCGTATTTATTGCGCGTTCCCCAAAGCAGATGGATTCCCGATATCTTCCGATTGGCACACCCGTTATAATCACACCTACGGCCTAGGCGGGATGAAGGTAATTAATTGCCATGGCAACACCGAGAGTGTTCGAATTTCTCTCGCACTACCGAATCCTTCGAGTACTGTGATAGGGCGGTCTCGAAATCCTGGAATTCATTCCCCCGCCGCTTCAATTCCAATTTTAGTTGACGTTATGCATGAGATTTCTATCTGTATCATCAGCCTCCTGCTGTCAAAATATATTTATACATCCAATCGCTAAATAGAATCAATTTTATAAGTCAATTTGTGGAACAAAAAGAAAGGTTACAGCTAAAACTTTTCCTAGATAAAATAATTACAAATATAAAATTCTGCTCTCTTTGTTGTTAAATTAAATATATTTATATAAAAAACAATTCAAAATAACAGCTATATAAATTTTTTTAATATTTAATATTAAATATAATATACTACCTAAGTAATATCATAATATATAAATTATGTTAATTTTGTTGTAATCAAAATAAGGATTTGCCCAAAGAAAATTTAAAATAAGTATTTCTAATAGAATGAAAGTCTATTTACATTTGCACAGATCACACACACACACACACACACACACACACACACACACACACACACACACACACACACACACACTACTACTATATATATATATATATATTATATATATATATATTATATATATATATATATTATATATATATATGTATATATATTAATCGATTATATAATTGTTATTTCACATTGATTATAGTTCGAGCAGTTAGCCTTCACATGGATGGAACGACAGAAATTGGGCGGCTCGTATTCGTCGCACAGAGCGCAAAGTGAGAAGCACGTGGTAGTTTGCAGTACGACACTGCAAGCTGACACTATTATGGACTTTCTAAATGAGTTTTACGCTCATCCCTTGTTGCAGGTTAGATTTATTTGTAACGAACAAATTACATGTCTTAAATATTTCGTTATGCACTAGACGACTTGTGATTTCGTAAAATTTCATTATCACATTCACAATTTATTGTAATTAAAGTGGACACAACAAATAGTTTTAAAATATGTTGTTAAGCTTAATTTGAATATTACGAGTATAACGGAATTTATGAAAATTATCACACCTTGTTTAGTAAGATAAAAAATATAATCATAATTTATAAAAAAAGCAATTTTAATTTTAATCTTTTATTTGAAATAAATTAAATTCAGATGCATGTCGAGTATCTTCCTTATGCATTTGTATTTATTATTAGGTATAATATTGTACTTAAAGAAAAAAAAATGAATTGAATAGTATGAAAAGAACAATAATTAATTGCACCGTGTATACTTCTTTTATTTATCTTACTATTTTTACACATTATTAATGGAGATGATTTAAACATGATGATTAGGATTATTACGTGGTGCTATTGTCACCGATGGAACTCGATACCACGATGCGAATGATCCTGCAAGTGCCGATTTGGGCACAGAGAGTGATCTACATACAGGGTTCATGCCTGAAGGATGGCGATCTCGCTAGGGCGAGAATGAACGAGGCGGAAGCTTGCTTCGTATTGGCAGCGAGAAATTACGCCGATAAAACCGCTGCTGACGAACACACGATACTCAGGTCAGCGGACGGTGAAAATGGTCGAAATATAAGCTTCGTTAACGAAGCTTATAATCGACGTTGTAAATTCAATCTTTCCGTCGCTCTTCTTTTTCCATAATAAAATTTCCTGTTATGAGAATTAAACGTTGCAATTCTAATATTTTTTCAACGATTTATTTCGCGAATTTCAGACATTTTTCATTTAAATTTTACTTCGGAGTTTAAATAGAAGTTAAGCTGCCCTGTTGACCTTAATCACTTAACTTCCTTTACTTTCAAATTCAGTTGTAAAGCGCAGTTGGCTTGTAAGCGAGCACTTTCAGACATCGGCTTTCAGTCCAGTGATTCTTGTTGGTAAAGGATTGATAAAGGATCCGTAAATAAAATGAAATATGAGAAATTTGAAATGCATCCCAAGGTGAAATTTTTATTTGAGAAATAGCAAAACAACATTATATAATGGCAATAATTTATGTATAATTAAATTTAACAAAAATATTATTAAATTTGATTGTATGTTTAAAACAATAGCAGAATTATTCTGAAAAAAATTTATATTGAATTATTATATTGAATTAATATATTTTATCCTAATCTCGCGACTCAAGTTCTAAATCATGTTTAAATCTCATAAGAAATTGAATTTGGTAATTATAGATCGTGGGCGGTGAAAGATTTCGCGCCCAACGTTCCTCAGTATGTTCAAATCTTCCGTCCGGAAAACAAACTCCACGTGAAGTTCGCAGAACACGTGGTGTGCGAGGATGAATTTAAATACGCCCTTTTGGCAAACAATTGCACGTGTCCTGGCGCGTCGACATTAGTTACCCTGTTGCTGCACACATCCAGAGGACAGTAAGTGCTGCTCAAAACGTATTACAGGACATAATTAGGCTACAAATTTAACCATACAATAACCATACACGTGCACATTTCATAATGTATATAGTTACATAGATTGTTTCTGTAACATAGATTGTTTCTTAATCATTTATTTAACTCTCATTTAATATAGAGATTAATTTTAATATGCAAAATATTAAAACAAAAAACAAAATGTATATCGCCAAATTACATATGCAATAATCATAAGTATCTTATAAAATTTCTAATTTTATGAAATTTTATAATGCACATAATTTAATGAAACACACATTTAATGAAAATGACATGCAATAAAATATATTATTTTTAAAATTATTTTCCTTAGTCTTACATTATTATAACCTTACAGTATATATATTGCATAAAAGTATGAAAATTCTAAATTGGAATCTTCCTGTTTACAGAGAAGGGCAACAGTCTCAGGAAGAATGGCACAGACTATATGGTAAATGTTCTGGCAACGAGATTTATCACATAATTCTCGGCGACTCTCGTTTTTTTGGGGAGTACGAGGGAAAATCCTTCACCTACGCGTCCTTCCATAGCCACCGAAAATATGGAGTTGCGCTTGTCGCAGTCAGACCGGCAGAACTTCCGGAATTTTACGAGGATACTATCCTGTTGAATCCTGGTAATCTCACGACACAATACCAGTGTTTTTAGGCTCTTTTTTGGACATCTTTTCCAGGTTTTTTGTCTCTCGAGCAAATAAAAAGAAATATTAAACTTTATTATGTTGTATT